TTTTTTTTTTTTTTTTTTTTACTTTTTGGCAATGGAAACAAATTTTATAACCAATTGTGGAAAAAAAAATTATTACTTTAATAGACATTTTCTATGTAAAATAAAGTCAAACGAATAGAAATTTTAAAAATTTTCCGGGTGAAAAATTATACAAATCATACACACTTAATTAACAATTCTCTGTAAAACATTTTTTAGGCAATTATTTTCCCTGAAAATCATTTTCTTCCATCCATTTTTCACCCTTACAATCAAACACACCCTAAATTACAGAGATTGAACAAAATTCACTAAGAACACATAGAATGGCAGAGAGAAGAAACGAAATCCTACAACTCAGATTTCCTCTTACACGAAACAATAACCATTGAATGAAACCCAAAAAGGAGCTTCTAATACACTGGTCCAAAAGTCACAGATCAACGGCTAAGAAATGGCCAAATGTATGGCTAGATCACAAGATCAAGAAGTAAAGAGTTGTGTAATATGGAAACACGATTTCATTAAATAGGTTTCAAACCAGAAGCTTTGCACAGGCCCAAATACAAACAAAACTGGGCCAAGAATTGTGAGGCAGCCCATGAAACTTAACCCCAGTGACAGCTAAGCATTCTTTTTCTAAAAACCAAACAACAGCTGGACGGAGAAAAAAAATCTAACCCGAGGTAATTTTACGACAGAAACTTCTGCTGTCATACTGTGGAGGAATGCATACACAAGTAAAAATTGCATCTAATAAGAACAGAGTTTTGTCGAGTCTTTCAACCTAGGAAAAGGGTTGATGAAGAGTATTAATTGGCACCAATCAGTAAAATTCAGTGGGAACAAAATCAAGAGTATTAATAATTTGTTTTCATACTAGGATGTCTGAATTTATAGCAAACCAAGATGACAATACAATCATTCAAAAACCGAAAGAACATGGTGATTGAAATTGTCAAATCTAAAGGTCTTACGTTAAGATTCAAGCATTAGAGCATGCCTTGATCACAAATTCAAGAAAAGAAAACAATAAAACTACAATAACATGAGTGAACAAATTAACAAATTTCAAAATCTAATTAGACTAAAATTTTGTCAGCACGGAAAAAGCAATTGGCCATGACATTACTACATTGCAAGGAAGGATGGATTCATTAAACTTGAACCTCCGAGTCCATTGCAAAGGCTAGCCCCATCAAGTGTCTTGCTACTCCCTGCCCTTGGGCTACTCCCTGCACTGCTGTTAGATACGGAACCATACGCACCCCTCTGTAAAACCCCAGTGGGAGATGATACGAAACAGGGGCTACTATCCCAGCCCTCCATCAGGCTCAGAGCCGTGTTGTTCTTACGATCAGTTTTGTTGTTGTTGGAGCTATGCAAAACCTCCCCAAGAGGTCCACCCTCGGAATGTTCCCAGGAAATGGGAATCCAGTGGGTTTGTCTTTGCCTCTGTTCACTTGAGATGATACCTACTCCCAATCCCATTTGAGTTGCCTCAAGCTCTCGGGATGATCTCAATGGAGAGGCTGTAAGTTTTTTGTTCGTGGAAGATGAGGTAGAAGACATGAAGTCTGATGTGATCACGGGGATGGAAATTGAAAGCTGAGTACTGTCCGACTGCATATCAACATCAGGCCATGAAATGGCCGAGCATTCTGATGGGTTTTTCGGCCATTCATCCATGAACTGGCGAAGTGGATGCTGTGATTTGCTTAATTGATCATTGAGATTGCTGTTCACAAAGGAAGAACTTCTATTTAAAGGATTGAGCAAAGAATCAGAGCACACTAATCCGAACTCGGAGCAAGAAGATTCCACATATGCATTCTTTTGTTTGGGAACAGAATATTCATTGTCTTTCAGACTTGTGTTTGCTGTTGTACGTTGATATCCCTCGTCCACATTTTCCTTTTCGAGAAAACTCCTGCTAAAAGGATAACAATTCAATGTTTATTAGGCCAGAAAAAAGAGAGAGGATTTGAAGTAACATTTTTATAACATGGAAAACGGAAAAACTTTATGGACCGCTAGTTCCCTAAGAATTTGCAAGTTTCATCTTATATTGTAATACCTTTCCCCACTTAATACTGACTTTGTCTAATCAAACAGAACTTAGAAGACCAATCAATAATTTGAAACCAAAGCCGAAACTATTTCATTCAATGGTTAGAAATTTGAACTTAAATACATGGAATGGATCTGTAGGGTGTCCATTAATATACCTGTCAATATTTAGGGTCGCGGACAAAGGATTTTTAGAACCAGACTGCAAGTTATTAAGTTGATGATGCGAAAGTGCAAGATTGTTATATGCACCGGCTCTGGGCCCCATGGTTGCTGCTGAGGTGGAGGAAGTCACGGGCATAGGCTTGGTGGTATTTGTGTTGGTTCCGGTAACGGAATGGCCAGATTGGCCTTCCACAGGCTTTCTTGAACGGTGACGGCCTCTGTTCATATGCCGCTCACAATATTTCTGGTCGACAACTGCATCTCTTGAGCACCGCCATTTCTTCCCATCAGTCCTTCGACACCTTCCTGGTTCAGGATCAGTGTTGGAAAATCCCAGATGGAATGCTCCCCATCCCACTGCTCAACATACATCCAAAGAAACCAGGTCAATAATCAAAATATATAGAACATATGAAATCTCGCCCTATTATAAAGACAAGAGAATGAATGAAACAATGTCTGACTTCGAAAGATATTCCTACAACCTTCAATTAATACAATTTCTTTTACATAACAAGTACTTGACTTCATAAACAAATAATCAATACTGAAAACATGATCCACTTTTGCAAACATGAGAGCAATCTCTGCTAAAAATGAAAATAGAACATGTTAAAGTAGAAAAGAAACTCACAAGTATTGGGTCTTACGCCAGAAAAGCTGGAGAAACCAGTAGACTCAAGGGCTTTTGTAATGGGATTTAGAAGATAAGTAGGAATAGGCACATTTGCAATGATATACTTGTAGATCAAAGCCTGATGTTCTAGCTCCATCCATTGTGATGGAGTAAATGGCCCTCTAACCACTGATAGCACCCCTTGCATGCTAGCAGCATTTATGCCTCCAGACCCATATCCTGAATCAGAAAGATGAAAATATTCAAGTAAATATCACCATCTCAATGCTTCTTGAAAAAAAGAAAACTGTTTCGTGGTCAGTGAAGCAATCGAATCTTTTCTTGCTCTCCTACCCACCAAAAAAGTAAAGCTTTTTTATCTTCTTTTTGTTCTTTAACTGCCTCCCAATAGCTGCAAATCTACTAAACCATTCGAATTCAAGATTATCATAACTGATTTCCTCAAAGAACTAAATCATGGTTACACAGAGAGGTAAAAACAGTTTTTTTTTTCTCTTTTATTTTGGACAAGGCTTAAAAAAGGACCAACACTGCGTTCATACGACATGACTATCCCAACAGAAGAACAAATCAAAATCAGCAGTTCATATGGGACAACAGTCAAAATACTTGTGCTAACCTGTGTTTCTATTAAAGGAACTTGACGTTTGTTGACAGTAGGGCAATGTCAAAGTTTGAGAGTTGGGAGAAGAGAAACTGAGCATTTGTTGGCCTTCAGAGAGATTATTGCTATTAGATCTCAGTAAAGGAATTCTCTCCTGAAGCAGCATTGCCTCACTAGAAGCTGTCTTGGCCAGTTTAAACTCCCTATATTCATCTTCATTTGTGGTGCCTGGCCTTTCTTGCTTGAAAAATCCAGATCCGTACCATTTTTGCTTTGCCTCAGCAGCATTTTCTGAAGCGAAGACATTATTAGTTGTAGTTGCAGTTGTTAAGCAAACTAAACCATCCAGGCCCACAACCCCAGAATCCATAAAGAGTGAAAGAAAAGCCAAGCCTACAAATTTTCACTGCACAAGGATGCAGAGGCTTTGTCTGTTGGAAGGAAAATCATTATAAGACTGTGGTTAGATGCTTTGTTTGGTTGAAAGCACACTTGAAAAAAGGGAGCTGCATTGGTTTTTGTTGAGTGAGTTTGATTTTTGTCAAAGGAAAGTATTGCTGGAGAGATGGAGTGTGTGTGTGTGAGAGAGAGAGAGATGGGTGGGGGGGGGGGGGGGGG